ACACCACAACCAGTGCTTTCATATTTATTCATTACATAGGAAGGTTCTGCTTCCTGCTAATGTTATGCTTTTCTCACAAACTCTATGAGTAAGTCAAGACATTAAAAACAATTCACTCCCTGCGTCGAAGGGATATCTCAATGATTGTTAAACAATTAAGCAGATTCAATGTAGTAGTTAAAGGAGAACTATGAGGTGAGTGCTTTTCACTCACCTCATAGTTCTAGCCGACCTGTGACAATGAGACTGTCACAGGTCGGCTCAGTAGATCGGGAGGTGAGCGAACATATACCGGCGTTCGCTCACCTCTCAATCCTGTCACGGCTCTCTGCCATGACAGGGGAGGGGCTGGATTCCCCCCCGCTCCGTCAGCGCTGACTGGCGGAACGGACGGGGTAGGGGGCGGGTACAGCTGGCTCTGCCTCTAGATAGGCAGAGCCAGCTGTCACTCACGCAGCTGGGCGGATCCCGGCACAATTGTCGGGATCCGCTTCAGCGTCTCAGTATACCGTGAGCAGCTGCTTGCGGTATACTGAGCTTAGGGTAACGGGAGGACGCTAGTTTGTGTCCTCCCGTTACCCTAAGGAGAACTACGGGGAAAAGCCCTAACCCCATAGTTCTCCTTTAAGCAACACTGTATCAAGTGGCTATACGTTGTAGTCTGGTACAATTTGTCTTCAAGGCTTGCCCCACATCTTTGAGTGAAGCCCACCAGGTGTGATACTTACATCTGCCTCCATTACAGTGATCGTCACTATATGACCCTGTCTAAACCCTACAGCCTTTCTTTCGAAAGTGTATCAGGCAAATCCTCTTTATCCTGCGTATTTAACCTGCGGCCCCATTCATTCCTACGGGGAGCCATACTCATGGTGGCCTTTAATGGTCCTGCAGAACACAGCTCTCCCCATAAGAATGAATAGGGCTATGGCACATATGTGCAGGATAAAGAAAACCAGGAAGGTATGTTGAGATCACAGGAATAGGGACTGAGGTAAGTATTAAACCAGGTGGGATGTATGCAAGGGGTGGGGGGTATTGTCTTAAAAGACAATTTGTACCAAAGGTACAGTAGTACTTTAAATATTTGTGAATTTAACTTAATATGTGCTGGGCTTTCCATTTAAACAGGCTGTGTTGTCAGTCATTAAGATGTAGTGGGGAAAGGGAGGGGGGTACAAACACAATTCTTTCCAGGGTGTCAGACATTGGACTGAACATTAGCTACTTTACCCCATCTGCTGAAGGGGGTGAAAAGGTTTATTGGTAATATTTAGTGAATGTAACCCCACGTCACCCGTCTACTGGAATTCATTTCCTCTTTAAAAAATTCAAATTGGAGTCGATGTTTTTTGGCCTTTTCACCTCAGTGTTTCTGTTTTCTCAGTCTGAGCAGTTAACATGGTAATGAGAGAGTATGTGTGTTTGGTGATTAAGCTTTTCGCTCGATTTACTGAGGGAATTAATAAATTGCAATGTAACAGCAGAAGCAGCTCACACGCTCTCGTGACCAAGACATGCAGCCGCAGACACCCAGACACATCATTCTTCATAAACATCTCTTTCCCGTCTATTCGATTCACTATGCTAATGGTTAAGTGTACCTGTCACGTGCATCCAGAGGAGCTAGAGATTTTGGCAGCCAATATTAAACATATGGATGCATTAGGAATGGTTATGGCCCAGTTCAGGGAACGAGAGGGCTGGCAAGGGGAATTAAAATAACGATGTGGGCTTTCTACGGGGCTAAAATAATGTGTGTTGCTGTCCAGGGGGGCTAAAATAATTATTGGGGCTGTCCATAAGACTACAATGATGGGTGGGGCTATCAGGAGGACTAAATCAGCAGGTGGGAATGTTTACAGCACTAAAACAATGTGTAGGACTGTTAACAGTACTAAAACAATGGGTGAGACTGATTGTAGTATTAAAACAATGGGAGGGACTGTCCGCGACACTAAAACAATGGGTGGAACTGTTTGCTGCACTAAAACAATGGGTGAGACTAAAATAATGGGTGAGACTAATTGCAGTATTAAAACAATGTGAGGGACTGTTTGTGGTACTAAAAGAATGGGTAGGACTGTTCGCAACACTAAAACAATGGGTGAAGCTGGTTGCAATGTTAAAGCAATGGGTGGGACTGTTTGCGGTACCAAAATAATAGTTGGGGCTGTTTGTGGTACTAAAAGCAATAGATGGGGCTATCCACAGGACTAAAAAATGGGCTAGGGTGCCCATGGGACTACTGGCGGGGCTGTCTGCAGGACTAAAACAATAGGTTGGGCTGCCTGTGGGACTAAAATAATGGTAAGGGCTGCCCAAGAGACCTAAATAATTGGAAAGGCTGTCCATGAGACTACAATATTTGGACAGGCTGTCCATGGGAATAAAATAATGGGCGGGAGCTGCCTAGGATACTCAACTAATGGGAGAAGCGTATTATGGAATTAGCAGAAGCAAAGGGACTAATATAAAGCTGGACTAGCTTATCAGAAGGAACAGCAAATAAAGAGTCTAGATATTGGATCAAACATAGAGGGAGGGTTAAGAGAACAGTCAAATGCAAAGGAGGAGCTAGCAATACAAGAGCAATAGAAGAAGCTGGAAATACAGAATAAGAGATGGGGGTTATTGATGGAATTAGCATAAAGGGGAGGAGCTAGAAATACAGAGTAGGAGGAGCAGCCAGCAATGAGATCAGTGTTAAGAAAAGGGGACTTGCCGAACAATCAGAGCAAATGGAGAGTCAGGTGATCACAGCAAGGAATGAGATTGGCCAAGGAGTTAGTATAAAGCTGGGCACTCAGTGGCAGATCTCGGACTGAATGTTATAGACAATAAAAGATCTGGCAATTTTTGCTCAATTTTTCCCACTGTGATCTGTGCCATGTCTCAGCTGACAATGAATATAACACAAGTGATATATAGATAGAACACCGGGAAAAGAGTTGCAACAGAAAAGCAGGTACTATGAGAAAATGTTCACTTGTTGCAAATCTATTATTAACCACTACTATGCTTCATTAGCTTGAAGCGGTCCCTGTACTCGCATTTACTGGCACCCATCAATGTCTGTAGGAGAGGTGCAGATGGCATTCATTGCCAACTGTTGCCTACACTACACAGTGCCCATTTCCCCATCCGAATGCAATGACTGTTCCTCAGCTTTCAGAATACGCAGACCTTGTTTCTGATCAAATGATAACAGATAGGCAGATGCAAAGTACTAGTCAGTTGCTGGATTCAACCCATTGCATGCTGGGAAATACACAAGACAGGTGACATAGGACACAAGACTGTTTACCGTATGGCCGTTACCTTTTGAGTACTTCCACACAATGGTAGGTACAGGATATCCCTCTGCAGAACAATTCAGTATCACAGCTTTTCGGAAAATGCCGTCCTGGTCGGTGGGTTGTACCACAAATCGAGGAGGAACTGGAAAAAGATTGGATAATTGATGAATGATTATTCTGCTTAATGTCCCATACTGTACTTTGTTTTTAAGCAAATTGTACATTACTCAACAGAAGGAATAAATCTGCTTTGTTTTCTATCTATACTTATTTCATTAATATAACACAGATACATTTCACAGTACATAGAGCATTTACATCAGTCCATCAGTCCCCGCCCCCGAGGAGCTTATAATCTAATATCCCTACCAATATCATACATACACACAGGGGCTTAGGAAGAGGGGTTGAAGCACTTGCATCTGCGATTGGACTCCTGTTCTCATGGGGCTAAGGCCAGTTCCGGCCCTCCAGAAATTAAACCTACATGGCTGTAAGAGCACAGCAGAGGAGCTTGGCATGCACTTTCCCCAAGATCAACAAGCAAGTTACACAGTTGCTGCATGGTGCTATGATGCTTTTCCCAAGACCTCCCCTACCCCATAATGGCCATGTCCAAGCTTTACACCAAGGCCCCAAGATCTGAAGCCACATATAGGGGAAATCTGGAGAGAAAAAAAAATCACTACGCAATTTGGGAAAAAACTTTAAAAAAGGCATAAAAGATGAGAATTAATGAATTCTGGGCATTACACTCATCCCCTTAGTTGGAGCCGACGTGTGACATTGGAACTGTCACACGTCGGCTCTATAGATCGGGAAGTGAGCAAACACATACAGTAGTTCGCTCACTTCTCGATCTCCTCCCTGCAGAGAGTGGTGACTGTCCCTAACCACTCCTTGCAGGGATCCCCCCCCCCTCCCCTGTCCGATCCTCCAGCGGTGACTGGTGGAACGGATGGGGAGGAGGCGGGCACAGCTGCCTCTGCCTTTAGATAGGCAGAACCTGCTGTCAATCAGCCAGCTGGGTGGATCTCAACAGTATTGTCAGGATCTGACCCGGCTGCGGCGCTCTCAGTATATTGCGAGCAATAGTTTGCTATATACTGAGCTTTGGATCACAGGAGAAGGTTAGTATATGTCCTACTGGGACCCTAAAGAGAACTATGGGGAAAACCACTTAGTTCTCTTTTAAACAAAAACAGCCAACAGGTTTCAGGGGCAACAACACTGCTCCTTCATCGGGGCTTATAATGGGATAAGGAATTGATTGGACTCAGAAGATACTATAACCAAATGGATCTCTCTCTATATAATTGGAAATAAAGATCTGTTTTAGTGCTGGAAATGTAATGGGCAGCAGCCATTGTGGTCTCTGAAACAAACCAAAAGGTGAAAGTGTCCAAAAGTGCCTTTATATGCTTACAATTCAATCAATCAAAAAACAACCAACATGTTTTTGGGGGGCAACAACACCCCCCCCCCTCCATTACAATTAAAATTTTGGACACTTTTGGTTGTTTCAGGGACCACAATGGCTGCTGCCCATTACATTTCCAGCCCTAAGGGAGATCTTTATATCTAATCATATAGAGATCCATTTGGTTATAGAATCTTCCAATCAAATCAAATCCTTATCCCATTTTAAGCCCTGATGAAGGGGGGGTGCTCCTGAAACGTGTTGGCTGTTTTTGTTTGCTCAAATTGAACAATTAAAGGCACTTTTGGACTCTTTTGCCAAGGTGCTCTTTATTTCTATTCGTCGGAATTTATGTGCAGCAGAGTTTGCACTGTCAGCTAACTACAGGAAGCTCCCTGGATTGCAGGCAGGAGTAACAGGATTTCTGTATGCTGAGTGTTTTTTAAAGGGATACATCACTGGGAAATGTATATGTATAGCAGAGATGTACCCTGTATGTTTTTGCTCCTGCCCAGACATACACTTTAAAGTGCAATTCCTGCCAAAATTAAGACAAAAAATGTAAGAGTTGGCTAATGGCAGCTTTCAGCATTAGCTGTGCCAGATAATAGCCTTCCTGACAGGTCCCCTTTAAAGCGATGTGCTGGCCATTTCTCAGGCATAGACAACATGCTTTATCTATAACAAAAAAAAAAAAAAAATGTCAGCTAGACGTGAGGTGAATAATGCAGCTCCTCCATCTCCAGCTATCAGGGTGAGGCTTCTGCAGGAGAAACACGCCGTGGAAGGTTGGTGGTTCCTAGGCAACCGCTCTCATTTCCATCATGGCTCCCGTTCCTCTGGGCTTAGCAGTGACCTCTACATACCTTCAGGAGGAAAACACAGCCAAGATGTATTACCATATATAAAGCTTTCTGCCACTCCGGGGAGAAAAGAGAAATAACGGCTCCAGAAACAAGTCAAATCTTTTTTCATTCGGATAATTTTGTTATGAATAGCCGTACACTGCAGAAGGTTCCCGCTACTATTTACATTAGTGTTGCCACCTTTTCTTCAAGCGGAACCCGAGCACTCTAGCGACGCGCGGGCATTTTTTAGGGAGAGTAAGCCGTGGCTTATTCATATGTAAATAGCGCCGCCTATTCATATGTAAATATCACACTTGGCACTATTTTCGGGGGTGTAGGCCCTATCTTAATTTTGGTTGCCCCTGTCTGCCTGCAGGTTTCTGCTGCCATGAAACCCGGACGCAGCATTCAAAACCCAGACTATCCTGGTGAATCCTGGACAGGTGGCAACCCTAATTTACATGCTGGGATTGGTTAATGGAACAGCGCAGTCACTCATAGCAACCAATCAGGATTTAGTTAGAGAGTGCTGCATTGAGACGTTTAAAGCTGAACTCCAGGCAGATATGAATAATGCACATATATTATTAAACATATCAGTTATAGTATCTGTCTTGATATCAGCCCATCTTCTCCAGCACAGCAGCTCTCGGACTGGAAGAAGGAGGGACAGCACTATGAGCCAATCAGGCTCTGCTGCATGAACATGTGCTGACAGCCAGTAGGCTGTGGGCGGGGCCATGACACCGATATAGTTCTCAAATCCAGATCAGCATTCCTGATCCAGGCCAGTGATTCAAGTGTTGAAGCAATGGGTCAGTATGGCAGCCGGACAACTAGCATTTTCAACAGGAGAGGGCAGCAATGGCAGCCTCCAGGTTGCCTTTAAAGTGAACCTGTCAGCACAAACCTTTACCCGCATGATGTGATAATGCAGAGCAGGTTGTATCCCTCTATGCAGATAGCAGCTTCATCTTTTTTGCATACCCATTTGGATGGTATCCTCCAATTATCAATGCTCAAACCTGATGATTGGTTGCTGAGACACCAGGCTTTGTAGGATGCAGGCAGCAGGGGTGCCTATTCTTTACAGGCAGGAAGTGCAGATCCTGCAGGAGGGCTCAGGGTAGCAAAAATCACATAATACAACTAAAGTTATGTGCTGTCAGCTTTGGAATACATTATTTTACATTGCAACAGGTTTACCCAACTCAAACTGAAGGGGCCTGCAGCTCATGCACAGCCTGTTTAGACCACCGAATTACATTATTCACCCATCAGGCAAACAGGCCTATGGAACAGGGAGAGTGGAGCAGTCTGCATTCAGCTTGTCTCAGGAGAAATGGGATACCAGTGACATGACATTGTGGGAGATGAGGAGATCAGCTACTGTGGGGAAATCTACTGCTGGAAATAGAAGAAGCTGGAAGTTATTTAAAGCCATCGTTACTCCCCTACCACCAAAAAGATTTGGATGGGTTTTCTGCATTCCCTTTCACATGACAAAGGAGCACCCGAGTACTACGGGTCAGCTAAAGAGACAGCAAAGCAATGACTCTGTTTATCTCTTTATAGGGTCAGATTAAGCTGTATAGTGATGGATGAGTCACTGTGATGAGCTGCCCACAACTGCAGATCAATTACAGCTTGTGCTACAGAGCCAATGTCAGCCTGGCTGGAATTATAGTTGGCATGTATCTGGTTAATTCCAGGTGTCTGGCATTGCCTGTACCCCCCTGGGCGGAGTGTGACAGCCAATCAGTACAGCAGCCAATCACTGGGTTCCTCTCAATCAGTGGTGCATGCTGTGATAGGAGGGACATATACATATACTGGAGGGATTTGCCATGTGTTCAGACTAGCCGGGACCAGCCATGGAATAGTGCTGGGTGCTGTTCAGTCTGCCCCCAAGCTGGGCCTGGGGGTGGGCATAGGCTGGTGTGAGGGAAATGTTTCCCTGAGGAGGAGGTCTGTGATGCTGATAGAGGAAGAGACCCGGGACCAATAATGGCTCTTGAAGTACCCTGTTTCCCCGAAAATAAGACCTAGCCCGAAAGTAAGACCTAGCACTATTTCTCAAGATTCCTGTAATACAAGACCTATCCCGAAAATAAGACCTAGTTTGGTGGTAGCATATGAGGGGGAACTTGAAGAGCAGGTGAGATGGTATCAGCCTGCAGGGACATACTGTATCAGGGGATGACAGGGAACTCCCTCCGGCCAGCGCAGTGACAGGGAGCACTCCAGTACCATACTTCACCAACTGCTGTCCCCCGAAGGCACTGCTTAATGTAATGGTACTGTACTGTACTGTGTACCGGTAAATGGTACCGTACTCTACCGCGCTGTCCACTGTCTGATGTCCGCACTGCTGGTACAGCTGTCCGGTACTGTGACAGGTGGAGTGATACCAGATAACGTTGGATTGTTGTACATGAATAACTTTAGATTGTTGTACATTTTGTTGCACATTAAAAAAAAAGACACCCCCTGAAAATAAGACCTAGTGTGTTTTTGTGGGGAAAAAAAAATATAAGACAGTGTCTTATTTTCGGGGAAACACGGTATCCTGGAACCCAGAGGACTTCAGGAGTATGGTCGGTGTCTCTCCTGTAGAGGATCTGTTTTCATGCTGCTCATCTGCTATTTCGGTTGCCATCCGCTGCCTCCCAAGTGTATCTACAATGATATGCCTACCAGGTCTGGTGAGTCTGAAGCCTATGTCGGTTACACCATGGATGTATAGGATCCCTCTACCCTCTCTCCCCAGTGAAGAAGTTCAATAAAAGTTATTCTGCATTATACTACTGGAGTGGACATCAGCTATTGTGGGCATTAGAGGAAGGGCGGTTAGTGCTAATGGGTGGATGAGCC